CTATTCATACTAATTTGAATATTTCATTTTATAAATTAAATTCAAATTTATTTACAATTTTCAGTTCATATATTTAATTCTAATCATAGTTATACAAATTTATTAATTATGATTTGATTGTACTTATATAAATTTAGGATAAAATATATAAATAATCTCTGAACTTTTGAAACTTGTTTAGTTCATTTATATTTTGGTCCCTGCCGTTATATTTTGCTGATGTGGCAATTAACCCTCTGTTAACTTTTTTTTTGCTGACGTAGCTTCTTCTTCTTCTTCCACTCTCTCTCTATCTGACGCACACAAACACAACATAACTTGATTCCAAGCTCGTCTATATGAAGCTTTCACCATTCTCATTTCTCTCAATCAATTTTCACACAAAAATAATAAAAAATAACATGGCGGTTTCTGACTCTTTGGTTCGTCGAAACCAATCCCCATTTCCATTTCTCATATCTAAAAGATAAAAAATCAACCTGGTATACCCCTTCTTAAAACTGAAAACGAAAACACATTGAAAATGCTTAGCTTCCATGGCGATTTTCAGACTCTGAGCAAATAGATACTAAGTTTAGGAGCTTCATTACTATCAGGATTCATCATATAGAAAGTTTTAGAATCTCTAGACCCAACAATTCTCTGGAAATTAGCCCTTATATACATAAGCTCACCGTCGCCGGCTCAGGCGTCTCGGTCGTCGGTAGAACCCCAGCTCCCATGAAGATAGTTCCACGGCTTTCAAAATGTTCCATTCTTTAGCCCCACAGTCCCTTCTGGTTGCAAACCCACATTTCTTTCCATTACAATAAGCTCTCCAAACCAGCTATTGGAGTAATCTCGTACCAACCTGGATTCCATTTCCTGAACCAGACTGCTAATGGGGGTGCCGAGTTCAACGAGGAAATCTGGTAGGGAATCGGGTTGTTTCTGAAAAGCAAAGTGGACATGGCCACGTCTGGAACCGAAAATGGTGCCGATAACTCGAGGTCCGAGACCACTACCGAAGGGCGGGTTTAAACAGTTCTTCCCAAAAGAAATGAGAACATCTCGGAGCCTGGTAGTGGCGACTGCTTGAAGCTTCTTCTTCCTGGGTGTGGGAGCACCAACATGGGTTTTAGGTTTAAGAGATTCTGCATGATTCTTGTGTTGTTGATCATTGGGGTTTGAAGATGTGTGCTTGAGTGTTGAGCCTTGTTCGACATAGTCGTCGTCTTCAGTTCCAACTTTGTGGGTCTAGTGGAAATTGTGTATTTTGGAGGTGTCTTGAGAGGTTTTTGCCATTAATGAAGAATTGTGAAATGGAGAAAGAAAGAAGGAATAGTAGTGTAGAGAATGAAAGAATGAAAGAAGATGTCCATAAAGAGAGAGGAAGAAGAAGAAGAAGCCACGTCAACAAAAAAAAGGAACTAAGGGTTAACTGTCACGTTAGTGAAATATAACGGAAGGTAAAGGTAAGGACTGAAATGAAAATGAACTAAAAGTTCGATGACTGTATTGTAAGTTTTAAAAGTTAGGTGACCAAAATTCAAGTGTCTTAAAAGTTTCGGGACTATTTATATATTTTACCGATAAATTTTTTACTTATAGTGGTCCTTGTAAATTCAAATAGAAATGTTAATAAGCTATCAAAAAAATTAATTTCATTGGAAAGTTTTAATGTTTAAATTAAAAGTTAAAACATAAAAAAAATGATTTTCCGTCCATATTCTTTCATATCGTTTTTCTTTATTACAAGGCACACAACAAATTTATTTTATTTCCAGTTTTATATCTCATCCTTTCATTTTTCATCCAACCAAACAAAGTCTTAGGATTTATAGGGTGAACATAAATTTAGAATTATGGAAAATTAAAGGGATAGAAAATTAGAAACACAAAATATTAACATTTTTATATCATCGTGTGCTTACTGGGAAGGAGGAAATATTAAAAAATTGTATTTTCTTTTTCATTTTTTGCTTGTTAGAGTTAAAAAATGACGAAAGTTACTTGGATTGAAAAAATTAACAATAATATTCATGTGTTTATGTTTTGGTCATCTAATTTATTTTTTAAAATCATATCTAAGGTTACGTTTTGACTTTGTTTTACTCGTCGGTACTTAAAAAATGAACAATATTATTCACGTGTTACTATAAGATCATGCCAAGTCATAATTGAAAAAAAATAATATGCTAACCACATCGTTAATCTTTTTAACAATGAGTAATCATAACATAACAGTAAGTACAATTTAAAAATAAATAATTGAAAGAACGAAATAGAAACAAAATAGTAGGTGGATGATCAAATAAATAATTAGGTTAATTACAAAATAAGTTCCTAAATTACAATGTTTTCCCTAAATAATTGCTCAAACTTTTTTTTGAATTATTTAAATATCTATTGTTACAAACATTACTATTTTAAGTGTCTAAATCCTTAAAAGTCATTAAATTTTAGGTTAAAGTATATAAATAGTACCTGAACTTTTAGGACACTTACATTTTGGTCACCCAACTTTTGAAACTTGCAATACAATCATCGAACTTTTAGTTCGTTTTTAATAAGTCCCTGTTATTACCTTGCGTTAGTTAGGGCTGACGTGGTACTTAATCCCGTTAACTTTTCTGACATGGCAATAATAGTTTTTTTCTTTTTTTGTTTCTTCCTTATTTCTTCTTCCTTCTTCTTCTTCTTCTTCTTCATATCAAATATTTATAAATAGATTTGTGCAATAAAACGACTAGAGCTGTAAATGAGCAAAACTTACAAAAATGGCACTTTTTGTTACCATTCATGAAAATTAAACAAACACGTTGATAAAGATAAAATAAAAATGTCTATAAACAACTCAAAACTTGTTCAAGAAGTAGAGACTACAAGATGGGGGTGAGAGACAGTAATGAACGATATGATAAAATACTGAAGTTTGAAGACAATATAATCATTTTAAGCACTCACCTCTTCAATGAAGTCAATATAGAGAAGAGCGCCATGCTTAAACTGAGTTCCACCACTGGGAAATGTGAGGTACTCTCTAATTACTTTAACCCAGTTATGATAACCCTTAATTTGTGCCAACTAAGTATGGGGAACGTTACGATACCATATCTACAGCAGCAATAACTCATTCGTTAATTCATATCTTCAAGCACAAAATTAAAGCGAAAAAGTGAACCAACAAATGTGACGTAAAAGTATATTCTCTCTGCTTTTTGGCCACCCAATTGGGCGTTTTCAGTGGGATTGTTGTTTGAGTTCAACAGGGACAAGTCACACCTAACTAAGAAGAAAAAGAAGAAAAAGAAATGAATGAAAGAGGGGGAGGAAGAAGAAGAAAAAACTATTATTGCCACATCAGAAAAGTTAACGGGGTTAGGTGCCACGTCATCCTTAACTAACGGAAAGTAACAGTAGGGACCTTATTGAAAATAAACTAAAAGTTTGATGATTGTATTACAAGTTTCAAAAATTAAGTGACCAAAATGCAAACAACCTAAAAATTAGAGGACTATTTATATATTTTACCCTAAATTAAAGAACACATTGTATTCAGCAAATTTTGAAAATTTTATGAAAAAAAAAAAAAAAATCTGTTCCCCACCCCATACAAACCCCTCCCCCCACCCCCCAGTCACTGCAACGAGGACTCTATTTCATCTTCTTCATAAATTTATGCTTTTGAGAATCTCAACCGGCGATGAAATGGCCGGCATGAATTGAACAAGGTACAGTGGACTTGCTTATGTTTATCACGATGAAGATGAAACCCAGAAACAAAGCATTCAAATGGTGAAGATCAACAGTTACCCAACTCTTCGGTCTAAATTTCTCTATTTTTTATTGTTTAGATCTTCTAGATATCTATGGTGGACTGAACCGATGCAAATTTTTATTTTAAAGCTTAGTTTGAAGGATTGTAAAGCAGTAATTGTTTGTGATTGATTTTTCCAAATGGGTGAAAGATTTGTTTTCGCTTTCGGTGAACAAGGTGAAGGATTTAATTCGGTTAGTTGGAGGTGAACGACGATAGATGAATGGCCGTACCGCGTGGATCAGTGTTCGGAGATGATCACCGGTGGAAGTAAAAGATTAGAATCAAGATTAAAGAATATGGAGCTTTTTTGAAATTTAGAAATTAGGGTTTTCTAAAATATTAATAATTTTTAAATTTTTTATTTTAAATAAAATTTTCAAAATTATTATAACATGACATAAGTAACTTAAGGAAAAATTTTAACGTCAGTTGTGATTCAAACATAAAAAAATAATGATATTTGTAACGTTAGATATCTTGATGATTAAAATAAATTTAAACATCTCTTTAAAGAAACAATATAGTATAAACATTTATTTTATAATTAAACCTAAATAATTTGCTCTAATAATGATGCAGAAAATGGAGATTTCCATTGATTCAAGTGAGAAGAAGTCAAAAGAAAAGTTGTACACAATTTTATTAGACATTTTCTCATGTCAGAAATATGACCTTATTGTTCAAGAAAAAAATGGATTATAGTCAACTAAGATACACCTAAAAAAATTTCAAACGCAAATACGATAGGAACCGACGTGAAATTTTATATTAGAAGTGAATTTACAAAATTTTAATAAAAATAAAAAAAAATATTAATAAAATATAAAAAAATATTTAAATTACATGAATATTTAAAATTTTTAAGAGCCCGTCAACTTCCCTTGATCCATCGCTGATTGTGATAACGGTAAAGTTTCCCTACACATATACATTCGGTCTTTCTCCACTGTGTGTGGATCTCTTCTGCATGCTAGCTTCAAAGTGTTGAATGGCAGGTTTATAAATGATACAGATGAACTGGAAAAGCTAATTTTATCAGTAGAGGAAGAAAAACAACAACAAATCATCCAAATCTCACACCTCGAATTTAGGGTAAAAACATATTTTTCATGCATAGACCATTGACATCATCATACTAAAGAAAATTCAGGGTAAAAATGTAGTACAAACGTCTGACAAGCACCTACAGACAGATGGATCAATCATCTGTTCCATTTGGGAATTCCAAGCTCTCAGCCACCCATTTATCCTCACTGATGGGCACCACGGTGATACCCTGTGGAAATGTAATGTCAGGGTAACATAGATAAACTCTGAACCTGTTGTTGAGTAAATAGCTCCTCGATTCGAGTCCAAAATCGAGAGATCGGAGATGTCGACATATGTTGATTCACAAGAGATCGAATTCGAGCCCTCTTTGTCTACCTTTTTCACTTTTTGAACTCCATCTACCAGGCAACAATAAGCCACACACGAATGAATTTAAGGCATTTAAGTAAAAAGTGTGGTTTGAAAATGAAGAAATAGAATATTGGAGCAAGGTGAAAATATTTACCTTCTTTGGCATGTTCTTCGTTTTCTACAGCAGGGGTTAAGTCTGAACCGGGCGCAGATTTGAGAGTTTCCCCTTGGAAGCCTGAAATGGGAAAATTAATCAGCAGGAGACGGGTACTAGCAAGTGATTTCTTAGGTTCTACTAGCAAACTACACCCTTTTTTTTCCCCTTGATTCGACTCGTAATTTTATTAACTCAACTTGAAAAAACTTAAAACAAAATTCAAGTTATACAATAGGACTTAAATTTTTAATAACTCGTAATTTCAAGTTCAAGTTTGAGTCGAGTCCCTCATATATGTATTTCGCATATGAATATATATATATATATATATGGTTATAAAAAACTATTTAAATTAAAATCAATTAGTATCGTAATATTATAAATATTTGTCATTAAACTTAAATAGAAACTCGAACAAGTCGACACGATCCCAATAAATTTTAGATAAAATTTAAGTTCGCAAATATGACTCGTTATCTCGACTCAATCGATTACTCACCCTAATTTCTACTTTAGAAAAATAAACGTACATACATCCTAATACATTAGGGTTAGGTAACCAATGTCATAATAGTTTTGATCTCAAAAGAACATCAGTGCTTAAGGACATTAATAGTAACATTTGAAGAAGATAAAAGACCTTCTTTGAGTGAGACAGGCACAGATTTAGAGCAAGAATCGGAGTTAACAATATTGGTAGTGGAATTTGCCAACTCTTTTCCTTCTACTTGCACGTCTTCTGTAAGGAAAAATATTGAATAAATATGAGCTAGCTAATAATTTATTCCATTTCTAAAATTTTATAAATTCGTCTAAATTCAATAATTTTCGAAAATAAGAAAATAATTAAAACGAAATCAACGTAGAAAAATGTAGAAAATATGCGAGAGGATGATTTAAGATTGGTTAGATTGGTGTAAGCAAGTTTAGCAGCGTTGATCTCAGCTTCCTTTTTGGATTTCCCTCCTTTCCCAGGAAAAACATGTCCTTTCACTTCAACGCTTGAGAAAAACGTAGGCCTGTGAGGCTCACCACATTGAGTTGTCTTATAATCTGGTAAACTCCATTCTTCTCTCCGAGTCAACTCTTGCAACAGATTCTTGTACATTCCTAACTCAGGCTGTTAAAATGTAGAAAAAGAATACTCATTTTGTTAATCTGGTGGACCCTGAAATAAAGAGGGAAGAACACAAGGATACCTCTTGAACAGGATTTGCAGCAGCAAGGGAATGGGAGGAGTGAAGGAAAGCGGACTTAGCGGCGTCGTTTTGTGCTTCTTTACAAGATTTGAAAGGGACAGAGGAGTGAAACGAGGTGCCGTTGAGGAAGACGGAGGATTTGAAGCAAGGATTGTGATCAGGGCCATCTTTCATGGAGGTGTACCATGGCAATGCCCATTGCCTTTGCTGGCAAAGCTCTTGCAACTTCGACTTGTACATTTTCTTTTCTTTTCTTTAGCAGAGACAAGTGAAGGAAATGAAAAGATTGTGAAGAATGACAAAAATTGTGAAGCTTTTGGTATTAGAAAAAGTGGCAGATGAAATGGCAACCGCGAGATCTGTTTCTTGTGTGTGTACTTTCTATTATTAATATTTGGGTAAAGTATAAAAATGGTCCTCTGACTATATGATAATATTTTATTGAGTCTCTCGACTTTTAAAAGCTATAACATGATCCTTCAGCTCTAGGATAAAATTTATCGAGTCCCTAACTATTAAAAGTTATAAAATGATCACATGATTATTCAAATTACCAAGCTCATCGTTTTTCATTAAAAATTGACAATCATCTAAGCTGGATGTTAACCTACTGGTTGTGATAAGATAAATTTGATATTAGAACCGTTTGAATTGTATAGTTGTTTGAAAGTCTAAGATCAAATTTTATTATATCCTAGTCAATAGGTTAACGTCCAATTTAAAAAGATGTCAATTTTTAATGGAAAATGACAAATTTGAAATATATAAATAGTAAAGTAATCATTTTGTAACTTTTAATAGTCGATAGACTCAACAAATCAACCCTATAATTGGAGGACCATTTTGTAACTTTTAATAAGCAAGAGACTCAATAAAACATTACCATATAATAAAGGAACTATTTGTATACTCTACCCTTAATTTTCCACGCTGAATTTAGTAAATGCGTCCAATCATGTGAAAGATTAGGATTGGAAGATATATTCTAGATTTATAATTACAAGTTTTCAGTTGATGCACGAGATCAGATTGGATTATAAAAAAATATAATATAAGAAGATTAATATCTGATTAAATAATTATTTTTCATTTTTATTTTTAATAAATTTAATTTTAATATTTTATTTTGTGATAAAATGTTCTTTAAATGTATAGGAATCATTAGTTATCTATTAGTCAACGTTTATGGCTAATGTGGTAATTTTAAAATATTGGGTGACACAAATCACGTGTCTGAAGTGATAATGTGACAATGTCACATATCTAACGTGGTGACGTGGCATTATTATGACGGTTTAAAAATATTTGTCAGAATTATTTGATCGTGTAAAAATATTAAGTATTTATTATAAAAATACCCAAAGTTACGGATCGGGTATCCAACCCATTATTTTTCTTGCATATCCAGGTCGGTTCCGAGTAAAAAAAAAATCCTTTAACCGGATTGCCATGGACCCGGTACTTGATTGCATTTTTAATTGAATTGATTATTATTATTTTTAATCCAAACTGCATAACCTAAAGATGTTGAGAATATTCAAGTTAATACTCTAATGCATGGAAATTTCATTTCAACCAACTTTGTAGTTAATTAATGAAAACAACGCTTTTTAGGGTCTTAGTATATAATGTAAATCATGTACACACCATCATATAAGCAAATCCCAGGTAGAACTTATCATTGATAGTTTCTTTTTCCCGAGAAACAAACGGAGAGAGAAGTGAAGAAAGAATCTGACATCCAAACTCAAGAATCTGACAGTAACCCCATTTTTTCTTTTTCACATCCCCAGATTTTATAGAGTTTCTTCATCTATCTCTACTACATTCTTCCCAAATGCAGCAGTAATGTGCATTTTGTTTCTTGAATGAACTTTTTGGAATTGGTTTTACTTGATGATCTGAATTCAGTTTGCTTGCAAGAAACGGGTGTTGGATTTCTGTGTTCATTTATCAAATGCAGCAGCACTGAGATAGAGAATGACAACTTAGAATCATTCACTCCTTGAAATTAATACATATGTTTATTTTTTATTTGTAAAAATAAAGAATTGGGTATCCTATTACACGAATCAATGGATACTCGAGTTTTGTGACTACGCGACTTATATGTATTCGAATATTACGGGTCGGATCATGTGCCCTTTTTAGTACTTTGAGTACCTGAAAAATTAACAGTTAAATATTTTGGTATAATTATACATTTGGTCCATGTTACTTATATATTCTATCTATTTGATTATTATTTTAATAAACTAAAATAGATTTAACACTTGAAAGAAAGCTTAGTTGTTTGCGTTACCAAGAAAATGTTCAACCATTGAATCAAGACTATTATTTAGTGCTAAATAGACAACATGTGGTATACATTTTGAATTTTTGTGGATAAATACAAATATAATATGTAAATAGGACCAAATTGATAGAATATGTAAGTAGCAAGGAACAAATGCGTAATTATACTAAAATTTTGAACTACCATGTCACATTCTCAATTAAATGTTAATGTCATGTAACTTGATTGACAGACTTAAATAATTAAATTGTTTGATTAGCAAATTTTCAAAATCAATGGTTAAAATGAGAGTTAAGTGGTAAGTTGGATCAAAATTACGGCCATAGCGTTTGTGACAACATCGATTTTGAAGAACTCACCCTTGCCAATGGATACTGTAATTTCTAAAGCCAAATGTTATTTCCCACCGAGTGCTTTATGTGGCAACAACTGGTGTGCCTGGAAATGGGACTTACACCAGTAAATTTGGACAACCATTTGGTCTTTGAAGATCCCCCAAAGGATTCCATTATTCCTTTGGTTCGTCATGACCAACCAAAAGCGTAATCGGCAACGAGCCAACGAATCCATTCTCCATGTAAATTTACCAGGAGAGTTTCACCGCCTTTCTCCGCCAGCACATGGCTTTAATGTTCTGGTTAACGGTCACATTATTTCTTTCTCTGTGTTTAAATACTTTGAATCTCCTCTGAGCTTTCAGTTTGCTCCCTAAACTGTTTCTTGATTTTGCAGTTACTCTCTCCCTCTGTTTCTCGCAGCCATGGCATCGCCTTCACAGCTTTCCCTCAAACAACTTCGTGATTTTCACCACATCGATCGCATTGCTTATTCTAGACTTATAACCCTTAATTCCGACCCTTTCCATGCAATGAAAATCGTTGCCTTCTGGAATACTCTTGAAAAAATTGGCATCAAACACTTGGTTTATAACCTTGAACGATTCTCTGATTCATCGCTTTTCTCTCTGGCCAAAGACTCCGTCCTCTGCTTGCAATGCCTCTACTCTTCTTCCCAACAAATCTTCCCATGGCTCCGTCTCGATTTCCCGGAGATGAACAAACTTGTTTCTCAAGAAATCTTGTTGGGGTTTCTCGTTAAGAACAGGGAGATCCTTAAAAGGATGATCAAGGGTTTTGTGAAAGATGTGTGTGAGGCAGCGTTTCTCCAACAAAATTTGGGTCACAAGCGATCTTACCCTTATGGTGGTCAACCCAATTCTGTAACTGCGACAGATGAAAACAAGGAGGTTTTGAAGGAGGGTAAAATTGATTGGGAAGACAAAACATTGTTTATGACATTCTCGAGGGGACATCCGGTTTCAAACAAAGAAATCAAAGGTTTCATAGCGGGTAAATTCGGGAGTCGTGTGGAGGCAATCTGTATGGATAAAAACCCAAAGCAGCGTTTGTTCGCCTGTGTTGTTCTAAAGTCACACGCAGACATGTCCAGGATTGTTGGGACTAACAAACTAGCGCAACACGTCATTAATGGCAAACAAGTTAGGGTTCGAAGATTTGTCCCCAAAAGTAATTTTCTTATGAAAACAGGTTAGCTGCATTCATTGCCATGTTATTGCAGTAATTAGTGGTAAGCAGTCTTTAGACAATGATTCATGACAAGATGAACAACATTCTTAGTTTACAGTTTTCTATATTCCATATTCCGAGGTTGTAATGCTCTGATTTCTCAATGTTTATCTGTTTGTTTTGCACTGCAATGGATTTATGGTTTGATAGAAATGATATGATGCAAAACGCAAGTTAGTGTTCAAAAAACAAGACAAGTTTATTGGATGTGAAACAAAACTTTAAACATTATCCTCAAAGTGTCAACCACGAGTGTCATAAGCCACTTACTTTTCAACATTCAGATACTAAGCACAAGCAAAGTAATAGCACCCCAACTACGTTAACACCTGATAAACATTATCAAGCCTCCCATTGTTTATATTATCAAATGGCACATCGTTCACATCAAACATGAATGTGTAGTCTTTCTTAGTCAGTAAACAATTGAATTATAACTTATTTTAAGCTCGATGGAACATAAGTGACTCTGGATGCTCTAATCCCTACAACATTATCAAATCGGAGCATAAATGGTCATACTCTCCAACATCGCCAAAGACCAACTACACACGTACCTCCAACATTCCCAAAATGATTCATAATGAACTCGTACATGAGCTGAAATGGAGTCTATGGCATGCAACATATATCTGACACTCGATTTCAAAGGGCAATATAGTGTCATGTTTAAGCTTACTTACATATCAAGTTACATAGCAGAACATGTTAACATCATAGTTTGATATTAGAGATCAAAACATAGCATAATCGAGCCTTAAGCTCCATACTCGCCAAATCATTAATTACCACCTCGATCTCTTAAGAAAAGAGCAAATTCAGAAGGAAAAGAATGTTTCAAATTGTAGTATTTACATGACAGATTAACATATGGAGTTTCATATTCTTCATTCTCTTTAACTTGGGACAGCTATCAAGGCTGACCTGCAGTTTCCCGGGAAAGTGACAGCAAATTACACCGATTCTCAGCTAATTCCAGAGAGTGGAATACCTAACAAAGAAATCCCAACGTTTAAGAAATCATTGACGATGGGGCTCTGGAGTGTGAACTAGATCATGGATGGTAGTTGGACGACAAATGTTGGAGAGAAGTTCTTGACCCGACCATGTCGAGCCAGCAATGAGTTAACTCGTGGTGTTGGGTTATACAGATCCCACCAGACATTCGATGAAACAGGGTTGCAGGCCATATCTGAAGTGATGCACCCAATCTCTGCACCATACAAACCAAGCCCACAGCAAGCATTCTTTGCATCCTCAAACCCTGTTTTTAAGAGAAAAAACATCAAATACATCAAGATATGATCACCCAAAACAGGGACTTAAATAGCGGCGGTGCGTTTGAATCTGTCATTGTATGACTGCGATACCCGCAATCATCGCAATAACGTTTGCTATGTCTGCAATCGTAATAAACGTAACGCAGTAAAAAACGTGACAGCAACTACAATTTAAATCTCTGATCCAAAATAACAAGGATTCATACCAAAAATATGTGGAAAAGATACGATCTTGTTGAGTCCTTGGTAAATATCACAGAAGACAATATGTGCATCGGGCAACTCATCATTGAGCCTAAGAATGCTGTCTTCAAGCAGTACATTATACTTCAAAATCACTTCATTAATCTCCTCAACACAACCCATTGTTCCATTAGCATCATCAGCTTGCCATTGGAAGAAAGAACTTGGGGAACATCCCAAAGGCAATATCCCATCACCACAACTTTCCTCACGTTCATATCATACAAGTTCATCATGGCATGCACCATTTCGTTAACCAAAATATCAGCAAATAAATGGTCGTTGTAATGAACCATTACGCCCGAGAAATTGCGAAGAAAGAGATCGATGTAATCGTCTTTGCCGAACGAGAGGTAGAAAATTGACGATTTGATGAACCGGCTAGAGCTTTCGTGACCAAGTTGAAGTTGCAATAGTTGAACCGTCTCGAACACTTGTCTCAGCTGGTGGTTAAGAGACTGGTGGCCGAGGCTGCTGGCGGTGAGGATCGTGGCGTGAGCCGCGCCGTAGTTGACGCCTCTCAGCAAGCCGTCGATGGTTCCGTTCTGGGTGTAGAATGACTCGGCGTATGGTACACCCATCTTGTTAGCTGCATGCGTTCGGGAAAATCAAAGTTTCAAGAAATGGGGTTTTCAAGAACAGAATTGCAGAAAGAAGAAAGAAAGCAAGAAATTTACCAAGAAGGTAGGGGAGAAGGATGGAATTGGAGCCATTGCAAGGGAGCAAAGAGAGGTTTAAATGGAAGATTGGGTAAAAGAGAGCGTTGGCTCCACAATCCACTGAAGAATCACCCAACACGTACATAGCCGATACGTTCCAGCTTGAATTCTCCTGACTCATTGCCATTCCCATTGAAACGATTGCAACCAAAAACAAAACGAATCCTTCCATCGTCCTTTTGATATTGGGATTCTTTTGCTTTCAGTTGCAGTTTCTTCTTCGTTCGGATACCCTTTGTTTACATTTTATAGCGGGAAATGGATTAAACTAGATGGGACTCCACCTGGAATTGCTCACCAAGATGAAGCCTGGCCCGATATGACATTTTAATAATTTGTTTTATGTATATTTATTAGGGGAAAATATACAAATGATCTCCGATTATAAGACATTGTTTTATTGAATCTCGATAATTAAAGTTACGAAATTGTCCTCAGTACTAAACAACATTGCTTTGTAGAGTTCCTAGTTATTAAAAGTTACAAAATGTTTCAAGCTTGTCTTTTTCTGTTATATTAATAGAAGATTGAGCTGTTGTGATATGATAAAATGACTCTAAAATTTCAAATGATTATCACATCTCTGTTAATATATTAGCGTCCAACTTAGATTGTCATCAATTTTTTTAACAAAAAAAGACGAGTTTGAAACATAAAAGTAGTTGAGTGACAATTTTATAACTTTTAATAGTTTATAGACTTAACAAAACAATGACCTGTAATCAAAGGACCATTTTAAAACTTTTAATAATTAGAGGATTCAATAAAGTAACACCCTATAATTAGATGATCATTTGTGTACTTTACCTTATTTAATATAAATATTATCTTCAAAATCATTATTCTAGTAATAATTAAAATCAGTGAAAATAATAATAATTATTATATACCCTTACAGGGTGACAAGAGTCGTAATTGTCAAATAATTAATAATTTTTCCTAGATAATTATACTAAAAACGCATAATAGAGAAGAAGAGTGTCAATCCACAAGGATTCAAAAATTTCTAATTCTGATTTGATTTGATCTTAAACCAAGAAAGCTGTAAAACAAATACTATTTTTTTTAAATAATCAAGTTAATTAAATAAAATAAAATTAAAGTAATGAAAGCAATAAAAATAATAAAAGTAAATTGTGGAAAAATTAATTATGATGAGAGATAGCCTCCAACTTCATTTTGTCTCAATCCATCTCGATCACTGAAATAAGTTTTACTTTGGTACTTGCTGGTTACAGTCTACAAGGCTCAACCCTTGTAACTTGCTCTTCTCGCTAATGAACTAATTTTCCAAAGCCAATCCTTGTAATTTAGCCCTTATTTGGATTAATTTCGCCTATCGACTTTAACGACAATGCTGATTTAAAACTAGAAAAGTTCGTGTTCGGATTATGGTGTCTCAATGAGAATCGAACCTGATCTTGATTTTCCCTTAGCGGATCGTCGCTAAGTTCGTTATTAGGCAATTGAACTTGCTACAAGCCAATTCTCCTCCCCAACTATAAATCGCAACGTCGATCAAGCCAATGTGCACTTCTTGGATTGAAGATATTGAGATGTCTGAATAAAGGTCAATTGTAACAGCCCAATCATCGGGTCAGTGACCAGAATGTAAGAAGTTTAAATTCAGTGGTTTAATTAGAATATTAGAATAACTTGAAAAGTTTAAGGATTTATTGTGTATATGTTTGTGTAGGAGTGAATATCAAATTTGGATTAGTGGAAGGAGATAAACACGTGGGTATTAAAGGAAAGAAAAGAGAAGTCTGGAAACCCATTTCTTATCTCTTCTTCGTGCCGTGAACTCCTCCATTAAAGGTAAGTTTTGTAAATTTGTTGGCTCATTCAATTTTTGGTTTGGTAATGAAAGAATGGGTGTTATATAAGCTTAAAGAAAGCTTGTATAAGATTAAAACAACAAGAGGATTGTTTTAGAAAGGGATTTGTAAAATGAGTTTTGAAATAAATTGTTAATTTGGTGTAGTTTTTGGAGTTTTATTTGGATATTTGACTTGTTAATGATCAAATTAAGAAATTAGGAGTAATAGAAATGATTAAGAACTTGTTTGAAAATTTGGTATGATTTTGAGATCCAAGTGTTTAAACAAGATTTTAGATATTTAAGAGTAGTAACTTAGGACAGGTTGGGTTGGATGTATAAGGGTGAGCTTAAAGGCTTTATGTGTGATAAAAATAAGAGATTTAAGAAGATTTTGGTTGATTTTCGATTTGAAAATAGCAATTCTGGGCATGGAGTATCGGTATCGTTAGAACAATATCGATACTTCAAGGCAAAATCAGTGGATTTCGAAGGGTGGTATCGGTACTGGTTGTATAGGGTATCGATACTAGTTGTATAGGGTATCGATACTGAGTGGTGAGTATCGATACCATTTTCAAGATAAAATTCTAGAACGTCAGAATGGTATCGGTACCGTAGGGGGTATCGATACCAATGAAGGGAAGTATCGGTACTGTAGTGATATTACTGATACTACTAAGCATGAAATGAGGAATTAAATGTTTATTTCAACTTAATTTTTTTATGATTGAATATAAGTGATTCGAATATATTGATGTTCGATTGTTTTGTGTAGTTGTTGAATATAATCAACTTCCGATCAACTCAACATATTAAGATTCAATCCCAAAAGTGTTAAGGATTTCAGTGAGACAAAAGTGAGTGCAACTTCTCGGTTTTGTAATAGAATTGAGGAAGGCTTG